ATGAACTAATTACCCTGGAAATAATTCATCGTTACGTGGAATTACTTGACAAGTGTTTTGGCAGTGTGAGTGAACTGGATATCATCTTTAAGTTTGAGAAGGCTTATTTTATTTTAGATGAGTTTCTTTTGGGAGGGGAAGTTCAGGAAACATCCAAGAAAAATGTCCTTACAGCCATCCAGCAGGCCGACCTACTGCAGGAAAAAACAGAGAGTATGTGTCACGGCAAGAGCTTCATTGGCTGTAAGAAAACGTACTAGACGACGTGCTGGCCCGCTGACACGCGTCACAGTGTAGTAGGATATTTGAATTCAGTTTGTAATTGTGGTTTTGTCAAGTTTGTTGTTATATTTGGTCATTACTTGAAAAGTCTATAATTATATCAAATCCCAAAGGATAGTCCCAATAACTTCATTAAACTGATATTTTCATAGGGAATTTCACTTCTCATTTTTTTTTTAACTTGAATACTGAAATAGGTTCAGAGGTTCATTGACAAAAATACTGTGACTCGCTAAGGCCATTGATACAGAAGAAATTTCCTATGAAAATGGGAGCTTCTGTAAGAACACAAAGCCTTTGGGAGTTTATTATTAATATTTTAACTTGCTACTTCATTCCACTTATAATTTATTCTGAGTAAGGAAGACAAAGGGCAACTGTCTCTCAAAAATGTTTAGACATTATTTGAGGATTAAAGACTAAGGGAATTTCTCCTCAGATAGTGTTGTATTTAATGGTTGTATAAGTCTAGGAATCTGTTACATTTTTTGGAACACTTTACATGATTTTGTAGCTCCACATTTTAGTGTTCCAACTTGAACGAAGATTAAAATGAGGATGCATTAAAAATGCTCAAATAGAGCAGCGCCTGTGGCCCAAAGGAGTAGGGCGCCAACCCCATATGCCGGAGGTGGGGGGTTCAAACCCAGCCCCGGCCAAAAACCGTAAACAAAACAAAAGAAAAAAATGCTTGAATAAGCAGTTGTAAACTTTCGGAGTCACAAGCCTTCTCGTAGGGTATATAATCCCTTTGAGAGTCTCAAGGGTGTTGGGCCCTCTCCCCAGGAAAGTTTGTACATAATTTTGCTTCTAATTTCAGAGAACTCTTGGAGCCTCTAGAAGATCATCTGTACACCATAGGGTCACTGTAAAAACCTTACTTCAGGCTACATTTTCTTCCTGATCATGGAAGAACATCTTCTTTGATACATTTTTTGGCTTAGACATTGTTATGGGAACTAATGTATAATATGTTATATGATATAAATCATATGGAGTGCTTAGAACAATGGCTTAGTTTGTCCCCACAAATCTATTTGGAGAATTCCTTAAAATCTATCTTGAAGATCTTTTAAAAAGTAATATCCTTAGTCTCAAAGTCACATTCTCTGTGTATTTTTGTTTTTGTAGTTCTAAGTGAACAGTTAAAAACTTTCTTTGCTACTTAAAGTACCAGATGGGAGACTACCTTCCCACTTTTTCTTGGGAAAGATTTTTTTTTCTGTAGGATCTCTGTTTTGTGTAATAAAATCCTGATGGATGTCAATACTGGTGGAAGGGAGTATTCTAATTGGATTGTCAATTAACTTGGTATTGACCAGATAACTTACCCTGAAAACCTTACAGAATATGTGTAGTCAATACAGTGCTTCAGTATTTTGTAGGATTTTCAGAGGACATGTCATTTGGTTTATCATCATATACAGTAAAGTTATAAAGGATGAATCTGAACTCCTAAGTCATTGTCTAGAAGTTAAATATTCAGTCATAAACCAAAGCATAAAAAGCAAACAAAAACGTGAGCTTTAGGTAACTTTAGGTACCGTGAACTAAATGTTCTGAAAATCTGATTGTATCTGTGTCAGTTTGTGTCCTGTGTGTAAGAATATATGTATTTCTTTCATAGCCACGTCATGACTATTTTAATGTCCCTGTGTATCAAATGACTACTCATCGAGTATGCAGAATTTCACAGAGGAAATAGAGTGCTGGCATACATACAGAAGAAAATATCCTCAGCTTGGTCACTGAGTATCTTGTATAATAATAGAACATTTCAGAGCCAGTACCTTTATGATGGTATTTTTTTTCTGTTCTCATTCCTCATTCTTCTGTTTTATTTTCATTCTATGTGTGATCTTGATATAACTCCTTCATGTCCAAAACTTGTTTTATCTCATCTAGACAAAATGTGGCTACGAGCATTTTGAGTAATATTTCACTTTAAACACATGCATGTTATCCTTAATGAACTATCTGTATTAATCTCATAAGCGGAAAGTTTGGCAATCATTAAAATGTTTACCAAAGAAAATAGAGTTGAAGCCCCAGGTCTAAATATTCAGTGCCATGATATATAGTGTGGTTTGGTCTTCAAATACTGGGAGGTGGGGAGATGATTTTGTGTGATTGTCGGGCAATCTATATGAGCTAATGTGTTCTAATGTATCCTGTAAGGGTGTATGTGGAAATAAAGTAAAATGAATCTGTACTGTGATATAGTATTTAAAGTTAAAACATTCAATTTTTAAGAAACTTTGTGCTGTTATATAATACTTAAAGTTAAAACATTCAGTTTTTAAGAAACTCTGTAGTACCACATTTATTGGATCACACGTGTGCCATACAACGATATTGAACAATCCTTTTAAGAATTTATAGAAAGCTATGTCTGGAAAGTCTCTCCTGCAGTAGCTGTTGCTTACTAGTAACTTTTCCAAAGTATTAATGCTGAGTTTAAGTATATAGTTAAAAATTCTAATGTTCAATTTCAATTCCTAAATACTTATATTTTACTAGTTATGCCTTTCTAACATATTAAGTCTTCATTGAAATACTTAATGCTTTGTTAACTGTGGCTTTATATTTCTGAATATTAAAATGTTTAATATTGATCACTATTGTATATTTTAATAAAATATAAAAGGAAAAGTAAATTTTAAAAAAAGAACACTCTGTTTGGGGAAGGCAGGATATTATAGTAGGCTAAAGACTCTGAAAACAGACCACCTGGGCTTGAATCCCAGCCCACCACTTCCTAAAAGTGTGACTTTGGGACATTTACTGGGCCTACATTGTCCCCATCTGTATATAGGGTACACTAATATTATCTGCCACATAGAGTTGTTATGGGAACTAATGTATAATATGTTACACGATATAAATCATATGGAGCACTTAGAACAATGACTTAGATTTAGTAAGAACCAAATAAACTCTGGTTAATATTATCTGAAGGGACAGAGATTTTGGTGGTGACCGTAACCACATAAGAAGCTATTAGAATAGGTACTAACTAGTAAGTACTAAAACCAGATGTTACTATGATTCTATCTAAGAAGGGAGGAGCCTAAGGGGAGCGGCTGTTTGAGAAGGCATGTGAAGGAGAATTCTAAAGGGTAGAGTGAGATTCTGTGTCAAAAAAAAAAAAAAAAAAAGCCCTGGATTGAGGTGGAACACATTCTTCTTAGTAAAGCATCACAAGGATGGATAAGCAAGAATCCAATGTACTCAATTCTAATATGAAGGCAGTAGATGAGTTAATACAAGGTGGCGGGTAGGGGAATGAGGGAGCAGAGAGAAGGGAGGAGGGAAGGAAATGAGGGTCATGGTGAATGGGGAAAAATAGAAAAAAAATGGCAACTAAAATTAGTACTCGATTTAATGGTTATTTAAAGCAATGGAACCATTGGTGCCAAGCTTCAGGAGTGGGACATAGATAGTAGAAGGGTCTTCAGACCCCCCCCATCTCCCCTCCCAAGGAAGCTGAACTTCTCAATCAGCTACTGTAGGATGATGTCAGCTACTGTACGGTGATGTCATCAAGGCTTCAGGAAGACAAGGGTAGTATTCATTCCCACAGAGAAGGTTAAAATTTCCGGGTCACAGCCTGCCCTCCCCTTCAGTTCTGACGTACCCTGTGATTTCCCTAAGTCACATAGCTCCTTGAGGACTCCTCCCAACTTCTTTCTTGCTCTGTCCCCTTCTTCCTCTTCCTTCCTCTCCCAGGTTATTCTACCTAATCATATTTCTACGAAGGATGATTAAGGCACATAAAGTCTTGTGTGCTCTTACTAACAGGCACAATGTACGGGTAAATGTCACACCTCCTGGGTGAGGGGCCCAACTACAACAGGGACTTCACCTACCAAACACAAACATTGTAACCTAAGTGTTTGTACCATCATATTAATCTGAAATGGTTTTTTAAAAGACACATGACATAGTTCTTAAAAAATACAAAATGCTCTGTGGTTTAATGATGACTAAACAAGAAATAAAAATAAAACCAGTAAAACATAGCTGTCTTTTAATCATCACATAAATGAGCTTACTCAGTGACGTCAAATGCAGTTTAATCATGCCTCAGCCTCTCAGGCTTGATAGTGTTTTATAGAGGAGTTTTATAAGGAGGAGTTTTGTGCTATTTTATAGAGGAGTCAACTGTGACATAGAAGCAATTTTCCTGATAGAAGCTCATGAGTCAGTAGCAGTGTCAGTGAAAGGTCTCTGCCACCTGACCTCTAGACCGACTACTTGCTTTAGACTGAGACCTTCTTCTGCTACGTGTTCTAATGGCTCAGGGGGCTGCCCTGATGGTTACAGAAAAACCCCTTTATATACATGTTAATAGCCTGGACAAGTCCTCCAGCCTCCGTGGGAGTGACTATCCCTTTAAAATACCCCCAAATATATACATGCATATATGTATGTCTGTACATGTGTGTACATATATACATATACATATGTATGTATATACACAGACAGACAGACATGTATACGTGCTATGATTGTACCTTAAGTGGATAAAGAGCTCTTACAACTCAGTAGTAAAAGTCAACTGAATAGAAAATGGGCAAAAGATTTGAACCGATAGCTCACAAAAGAATATATAAGCAAATGGCCAATAAATCCATTAAAAAATGCTCAAAATCTTTAATCATCAGGAAAATGAAAATTTAAACCATAATAATGCGCTATTTCACATCCTTTAGAGTGACTGAGATCAAAAAGGGTGACATTCCACATATCTGCTGTGATCAAAAAGGAGCCTAGAGTGACAGTTTCCCTTGACAGTCCCGGTTCTGTTTGCTATAACCGATCTCCAACATTTTAGGAAAATGCAGTTTTTGTACCTGCCATTTCTCGGGTATAGCCAGAGATCTTCACTGGGCTTGCCATGTTCCCACAAACCAGTAGAAAGCTGTGTCAGATGAAGACTCCAAGATGGCTGGGGTTGATTTTTCTGGAGAGTGAAGACTCCAGGGGTCATGACAGTGATGAAACAGAACAATCTCAGGACACCTGGGTTACCCCCAAGTTTCCTGGCAGAATCTGATACTGAGGAGAACTGCATGTTTCAGGGGCTGTGCTTTAAAGGTTGCCAGTAAAGCTGCCCTCACCTGGGATTATGGCACTACTGAGTCGGGAGAGAACTTCCATGGGAAGAGGCAGGCAAAAAGTTATTTTAGGTGGAAACTGCATTCCAAGCCCCGATCTTTGTTTTTTGGTGGTTCTGTATGTATCTGATATTGACCAATAAAAGACTCTGGAATTTAAAAAAAAAAATCTGCCAATGCTCAGTGTTGCTTGGAGAGCAACTGGAGCTCTCATACATACTCACAGGCAGTAGGAGCATCTTACTGCTTCAGAAAACAAGGTGACAAGTTCTTATAAAGTGTCATATGACCTAGAAGTTCCACTTTCAGGTATTCACCCAAGAGTAATGAAGACAAATCCACACCAAGACTTGTACCCGAATGTTCGTAGCAATTATATTCTGTGCAGGCCTCACAGAGGCGGATCCCAAAGATCCCTCCCCAGCTACAATTCACACATGTGTGTAAATGTCTCTCCTTGAGTGTGGGCAGAACCTAGTGACTTGCTTCTGACAGAGGAAATAAGCCAAGAGTGACGAGCTGCGACTTCTGAGACCCGGTCACCAAGGAGACCTGTTGTTTGCAGTCTCTTGCTCTCCTGCTCACCTGTGCCTGTGAGCTTCTCTGAGGAGAGGCCCACGTGACAGGGGACCAACCTCTGGTGAAACCAAGGCTCTCAAACCGGTAGACCACAAGAAACTGAATCCTGCTAATAGCCATGAGCTTATGAATGAGCAGCCTGGTCAACACTGTGACTACAGTTCCGTGAGGAACCATAAGGCATTAGCACCCAACTAAGCTGCACCCAAATTCATGACACACAGAAGCTATGAAATAGCTTTGTGGTAATAACTTGTTACTCGGCAATACCTAACTGATACACATTTATAGTAGTCAAAAAGGGAAAACAAGAAAATGCTAACCATATTGTGGGATAGCTGTACAGCTTGCTACTTAGCAATCAAAAGAAGCCAACTTCTGATACAGGCGACAACACAATGAACTACAGCCATCAAACTTAGCAAAACCAAAGAGAGGAGCGTATACAATGTGATTCCCTTTACATGAGGGTCTAGAAAGACAAAATGCAGCAATTCGATGGCAGCGCAGGGCCAGGAGCTAAAGTTACCACAAAGAAACAAACGAAACTTCTGGGAGTGTTAACGCTGACACATGACTATACACCTTTGTCATAATTTACTGAACTACATGTACCTAAAATAGGCATATAGGCATATTTTATTATATGCAAGTGATTCCTCAATAAAATTTATTTTCAGAGGTAAAGCAAATAAATCCTAAAGCAGATACTAGATATAAGCCCATGGCAGCAAATTCTAAAAATCTGAGCAAACAAACAAGTTCCCAGCAAAATATAAATAACAAAAATGGGAAAAATGGAACACCAAACATATAATACAGTATATTAATATAGAACAGAGCAACCACATAATAGATTGAAAAGGTGGTTTAGAAACTACCAAAGGCTACTTACAAGTTACTGAACTGCTTGATCCTCAGTTTCTTAATCTGTAACATGGAAATATAGTAACACAGTATTTTTGTGAGAAATAAACAAAAATGTTTAACATGGTACTTGGGACACAACGGGTGTGCAATACTAGTTTTTCTGGTATGCAGTGGTGTTGTAAGTCCTTTTGATGACAAATTTGCTTCTCTTTCCAAATGGTTAACATAGGTTATTTAATTCAATCAACATTCATTGGGTTCCTCCTTTGGGGATCCTTCCTAAGGAGGTTTTCCCACTCCTCAAGATGGAACAGATTCTTGATGAACTTTTCTTTCCTGAACTTAATTGTGGAAAAACAAAAATACAAGTAAAAGCTGGAAGTAAGAGGCTAAGTCTTCAGAAAAAGACAAGACCATAAAACTGCCCAGGAAGGGAGATGATATGTCCTAAGAATAATGAACGCATATCCTTTCCACAAGCATTAAACTAGGATGATACATCCAATTTTGTGTTAAAGAATGCCGAGGTTTCAGAAATCTAAGCAACTGTGTCGCAAAGCCAATCTCTTAGCATCTCAAGCCAGGGGGAAGGTTGACCTGAATCAGAGCTCTTCACCTGGCGTCTTCATCTCACTCCCCCAGGGAAGCCTCTGGCTCCAGGGTGGAGACTGCTCTACCTGGGAGGTTTGGGAGTGGTGATCAGGGAATGCAGACTCCCGCCAACTTGGAGGCCTGAAAGAATGTGGCAAGTCAGTGCTCTGCTGGTCTCCTCCCATCTCCATATTGCATGATTGTTCCTCCAAAATCTGGAACGCACAAGGCTTCCAGACAGTTGAGGGAGCCTCCTGCAGCTCTGACTTGGATGATATGCCAGAGAACATTTCTGTGGACAGAAGAAAGGGACACTACTAGGTCTTATCCCAGGGGACACAAGTAAGTTCTAAGATAGACATTCTCCTATCCTCTCCACCTGCACGTCCATCCGTCCCCACATTCACACAAAGAGTATGTGTCAAGTACATGGTACTATTCCTGGCTCATAATAGACTGTCAATAAATATTGATCTCCCCTTGCCCACGGTCATTTCACACAGGTCCAATTGGAGCGTGCAAGACAACTTACTCCATCCTACTAAATTCTCCTCATGGCCCCTTACTATGAGCCAAAAGCAAAATTTGGAGAGATCAGCATGTTCTACAAAGAAGGACAACCAAGAGCATTTGTAAAGCACAGGCTATGCTTCTTGTAAGATACCTGACATTAAACTCTGGGGCTGGCAGGTTCAAGCCTGGCCCAGGCCTGCTAAACAGCAATGACAACGACAATTAAAACAAACAAACAACAACAACAACAACAAAAAAAAAAAGGGCACTGTGGCAGGCACCTACATAAGCTGTATGTATCCCAGCTCATCGGAGGCTGAGGCAAGAGAATTGCTTGAGCCCAATAGTTTGAGGTTGCTGTGAGCTGTGACGCCAAAACACTCTACTGAGGGCAACATAATGAGACTCTGTCTCCAAAAAAAAAAAGATGACTTCTGGTTACAATTGCCAAAATCACCTTAAAATGTCTTAAAATAACAATGTATTACTGACTCTTACAGAGTTATTATTTTAAGACATTAAAAACAATTGACTAGACCTGGCTGTCTGGTCCTCACATAACAGCAGTCAGTGAGCAGTTGAGTCATCTGGGAGATTTATCTGGGCTCGGTGTCCAAGACAGCTTCATCACTCACCTTTCTAGTGCTTCAGAGCCTGGTACCTTCATGCAGAAGAGTAATCCCCACTTCTTGAATAATGACCTAAAACTCGAAGGAAAGGAAGCAGAAAATGTCAGTGATCTTACAGTCTGAGCCAGGAAATGGCCCAGAATCTCTTCTGCCATATTCTGATAAGTCAAAGCAGGTCTGGACCAGCCCAGGTTCAAGGCAGAGAAGGGGTAGGATCCACCTCTCCATGAGGAAGTGGTGTATATGTGCACAAAGGGAAGGACATGATTGATGGTGGACTCTTTGGAGACAAGCTAACACTGATGGAAAGGTGTATAAGGTCCATGTGCTCAGAAACATAAGACATTTATCTGTATGATTTTTTAGCTAGTAGTTTTTCACCCAAGTGCAAGATAAGGACCACCTACCACATGTCTCAGGCTCTTGACCCTGCCATTAAAATGTGTTTTCCTCTTGTCTAAGATGACTTTGTCCCCTTTTTCCCCCAATAAATTTCATGCTTCATGTGCATATCTCATTGTTCTATCTCCAGAGTAAAAACCAAGACTTCCGAACAGTCAGACCAACCCCCTCCTCTTGCTCCCATCTCACTATGGTACTTAATTTCCTTCCATTTTTCCTATAATCTTAGCTTCCAAGGTAAATCTTCCTTGGAAGACTTCTAGGTAATAAAATTTCTGGGTAAATCTTCCAAGTAGAATAAGTCACATGCTTTCATCACTTCTTATGCTTCTTTAAGGCACTTACCTTAGTCGGTAACTCTGTATTTGTAAGAGGATTGGATTAATTTTTATCTTCCTCCTTAGCTTAGATGCTAAGCTCTATAGAGTCAGGTACTGGCCCAGTACATACTAGATGCTCACTAATATTTCTTGAATGAATGAAAGATTTCTTCTCTCCAGAACCATTAATTGCTGAAATGCCCTTACACTGGAAAGTGGTGTTGGAAGTTTATTTCCTCAAACATGGTGTTTGGTTTTCACGTGTCAAACCTTAGAAAGCTTGATATTGAATTTAAGGAAAATGAAATTATGATACTCGATTCTTTGACTCAAGCAGTACAACCAAGCAGTTCCCTTTCAGAATCCCCTCCCATGCAGCAGACGTGACCTCAGGCACGCCAGGCTCTCCTGAAGGAATATATAGGTTTCACTTCCCACTTGCCGTTTCAGACCCCCTGGCTGTGTTCCTGCCTCTCAAATTCCTCCCCAGTTGCCTCACACCTGCTTGCTCAAGCACTTCAGTTAGATGTTGCAGCTGGAATGTCCATTTGGCCTAAAATCTGCCTGAACCCCCTGCTCTCCTTGAATAACATCTTTGAAAAGCCTGGCCGGCCTCACCTCCACACCCACACATAACTCTGGAATCCTCCACTGAATTCCAATACCCTGATTCTCAGTAGAGTCAAACATTGCTTCCTTTAGTTTTGGTGCTCTGGAAACTGAAAACAGAAATGGACTCTAGGAATTTTTCTTCGTATTTTTTATTATGGAAAAAACATTAAAGGTAAAGAAAAGACTATAATAAACTTTAGTATGCCCATCATC